AGCGATTATGAACTGAAATGACAAATGACAAAAATGTAGCCAATCTAACTGTGTGGTCGTCGTTTGAGCACCAGGTTAGCACACGTTTGTTGCGAGGCGGGAAGGGTAACACAGATATCTTGAGTTCGGATCAACAAAAGCCTGAGCAGCACTTGCAGTATGAGCTAACTGGACTGCTTTAGAGGCCTTGTGTGATTTATTAGCCCCGGGAAGTGTTGTTGTCAGCGCCATCCTCGATGCCCAAGTCGGAGCCACTCATTATTTGGATTCTAGCAGTAAGATAGCCCGTTGTTTTCAAGAAGTATACGATCGATTTAATGTTGATAGTGAAAAGATGTTACCTCGGATGCTGGTACTATTTCTGTGCGGCAATAGGAGGCGAAGCTGCACGACACTTCATACACCAACGAGGGCTAGGACTCCATTACAGATGGAGACCGCGCGGCAAATGAGTTGGTCTTCAAAGTTATGCAGGTGATTGAAGTGCTCATGCCACTACTCGACCTTGCTACATAAAACTGCTACTAATTGGGTTAATAATTTTGTAGTTATCTTTTTAAGCGTTGTGTACGCATAAGGCCTGCTCCCTTAAGGTAAGCTGAATGCCTAATCTCATTAAATTTTGACCGAATTTCTAGAATTCACCTTCGGTTATGAAATATTAGTTAAGTGGGATTGTAATTTGGACAGTTTCACCGCATAATTTCATGATACTTCAAATAAGCAAAGAAGTCTGTTTTTTAATGCGTTTTTTGTTAGCTGCTCGCAAAAAGCACAGCCAGTAAAAGTGATTACTTACATATTGTGCATTTTTTTCTGTCAATTTTTGCTGTATTTATAAAGCAAACCATGTTTTAAACAAAATATGCCCGAAACTATCCCTTTTTGTAGTCATTTGACAAACAATCATGTCTTCCTTGACTCTAATGCTCGAAAAGGGGTATCTTTCGATTTTAGAAAGTGGCTATTTATAATGCCTTTTTGAGATCGTACACTGTTCATTAAAATAGCATTTTATGCGTGAATATAACAACGCCCCTCATGAAATATACAAAATAGCCCAAATTTTTTATGAATACTTTATGATACCTTCTTAATGACATGCAGTACTATATAGTTTTCCTTACCTGGAAAGCATCCAGACTGGAAACCCTGAACGCGAACGTAAAGGCAGCTCAAGTTCGAAAATATTTGGCGATTCGAAAAAAGTTTCTTGCAACCTTACGTTGCCCTTACCTTAAGGAAACAGGACATTTGACCAAATGAGTGCAGAAAGTACATTTTTTGCTTAGATTACCTTTAAAACATATCTGAATTTATGAGAGCATTGCAAATCGATAAAAAAAAATGCATGCTGTTTAGATAGCCTTTTCGTTTTACAACTTATGCTTATTACCGGCGGCTGAAAATGACGCGCAATCAAAAGCCGGCATCTTCGCACTAGGCTATACCCTTAATTAATCCTTCCGAATCGTAAACACATTTCAGAAAGTCGGTTAAAATTTCACGATATTGCTCATTAACTGTGAATATTCCAGTCAAATCGTTTTTTACAGTCATCTCTGGCCTCCTTTGCATCCATTTTCTGCCTTTTGCGGAGCGAAATCACCTTTGCGGCACCCAGCTCGAACCGTCTGGCTGACAACTGTAAAATTATTCTACTACGGCCTGGTTGGGTTCATGCACAACATTTTTTCAGTTCCCTTGCCGCCTAAGAACTTCAACGGCGAGCATTTGTCACAAATTTCACCTACACTTCTGGTCGTAAAGTGAGGCCGAATGTCTGTGAGTAGTGCCTAAAGTGTGCTGGGTTGTCATCGTTTTGCGACTTCAAAACATCTTGCACGTGACAACTTGGATGCGCATGATTAGTGGACTTTCTGGTGTCTCTGAATGATTATATGGTTTTACTAATGAGTCTCGTAAGTTTTAACACAACGGATCCATCTAATACTATGGATTCAAATTGAACTGCCCTCGATCGGGCGCCGCAGCCCACCCGAAGACGTCAGAGAGGGGGGCAACTCAAGACTTGGCTAGACACTGTTCGTTCAGACATGGAAGCGGTTCTTAAGCCCTCGGTTTTTGGTCTCCGTCGCTGGAGAAGATAATGGGTGGAGTTTCCCAAATCCTCTATCGCTAAACGTCAAGCGTGAGAAGATGCCGTCCGTAATATCATTGAAGGCAGACCAGTTCTGTTATCAGTATATGAGAAGATAAATTAACTGAGTTCCTCCAATAAATAAGGGTACTTTTTAAGGTGGGCTGAAAAATAAATTCGCAAGGATAAACACGCCCTGGTCTGCCGCTTATGATTAAAAGCCGCTATGCTTATACTTGCCTCCAAAAACTCCAATCACGTTCTTACCAGGAAGCAAGCCGTAATATCGTAATAGGAAGAAGCACACACAGCAGACTTCCACCGCTGTTTTATTTTTCCCGGCTGCTTGCATTGACTTTATAAGACTGCTCTGAGACTTTGTCTATTCACTCATTTCATGTTCGGCGATCTGTGGCTACCTTATCTCTCTGACCTCTCCAGCGACAGGCATCTAGTAAGGCAGGTTTAGGCACCATCCCGACGTCTTCGTTGACGGCTTTAGGTCGCGTTTTGAGCTACCTACCCCCTTTTTACTTTTACTGAAGAGACTGGATTTTGATAACAATATCCATCTTAGATGGGAGAGCGGGAGGGGGGGAGAAAGCTGGGTAAGGACAGTGCGTTTAGGGCACATCAGTCGTTTCGTTTAATTGGATTTACTTATCGTCATGTTGTCCTGATGGATGCAAGCACTGTCATTCAAAACGTGGTCAAACTATTTCACTTAAGGGGTCGTCCTCTGGCAGTGATAACTGAAAACCTCCAGTATGGCCTGCTGCTCCTCTAGTCCCATGTTTATATCTATAGATGAAGACAGTGTGAACGGAGGCATGTCAAGTTCGCATCTTTCTGTTAATCGACATATCGTGACGAATTCATAGGAGCTTTAGGAGACCATGAAGGACTGTGAGGTGGACATATTTTTGGCAACGATGATATTACGCTTCTGCTCATATCTTTGGAATTAAGTGATTATTCGATATTTATGGGCCTGTCGTCAGCATTTAACATAAGCTAAATATAGAACTATTTTTTTATTTTAGATCGAATGTCAAAAGGTCCATCAAGGCAAAAACATTCAGCTAGCTCATCCGCCTCAAGACGTTATGATCAGTCCCTTGAGCGTGTCTTTAATAACCACAACACACATTCTTTCAGCGAACATGCGAGTAATTCAGAGAAGGCCAATGAGCAGCATAGGAACCAACGTGAACGCCGGCATCGACATCATTACCATGAACACGACTCTTCTACAAGAAGACATGAAAGTAGTTCCAGTGAGAGCCCCCCGGAAGACCATTATCACTCTACAGCAACCCGGAAGCATCTAGAAGTGGACTCCGCTCATTTGGCTTACTTATATAAATGCCCTCGGGAGCCGTCCAGATTCAGTGATAGTGCTGGCAAGACAGCGCATGTAAATAGGATTCCCGATCGTCATTCGGCGTCTGTCAGATCTCCTCGTACCAATCACGTTTCGCCGCCCTCTTCACATAAAAATCGTTCCCCCATTACTTCCATTTCAACAGTTTTGTCGGATAATCGAAATTCCACGAAAATGGCGGGTGATAGCCCACATCAGTTGCTCAGAGTAAGGTCTGATAATCGCAAGAGAAGCTACCAAGATTCCAGTTCGACGGCGGAGGCTACAAGCGCCGCCTCAGTGTCAAATAAAAGAATGCATTCCTCTGCTGCCTCTAATTGCCACGCCAGCAGCACTCTAGATCACAAAACTAGTTTCTCCAAAGGCAACACTTCAACCAAGGCAGCCAAGACGCATGTCTCGCTTTCCAAACTCCATGACGAGCTTTCGGCTGTTATTACTGCTGTGGCAACCAACTCCCCCACCAAGTGCCCGACGGATAACCAGCTCCGACAGATACCCGTCCCCACAACTTCCCCCTTCGCCTATAACGACCCCCTAATGTTCACTCAGGGTTTTTCCAAGTTTCAACAGCCCCTGTCTGCTTCTCCACCCTCGCCGTCCTCCTCCTTTGATGGATCATTTTTTGGCGAAAGCAAAGTCCCTCGTAAGTCACTGCTATCGTGTCTACTCTATGTACCTTTTGGAGACATTTTGCTTTTTAGTGAGCTTATGGGATGCCCAGGGAAGTTGCGTTGCCTTCTGCTGTCGCATCTGTGTATACATGTTAACATTTATCAGGCTGTGCAGCATCGGCGTGAACCCATA